TAGTTTTTAAAAGTAAAATTTTACTCTGGTTCTGTCAAATGAAAAAAACAGAGCAATAGAACCAAAGTAAAATTTTACTCTGATTCTATCAAATGAAATTTGATGTTTACTCTGAAAAATCGATAGAACTTTGAGCTTTGAATCAGGCCTATAATCCTTGAATCAATTGATGTTTACTTTGAAAAACATTGAATCATGCCTATACCTTGAATCAGGCCTATAATCTGAAAGTTTTAGAGAAATCTCAATTTTTCATACCCCGGTTCTTCAGATTTTTTAGATTTTTAAAACTTTGAGCTTTCAAAAATCTATATGTTCGAATTCAAATCTCAAAACACACACATATATATAGATATATATATATTCGAATTTAAATCTCAAAACACATATATTCGAATTCAAATCTCAAAACACACACATATATATAGATATATATATATTCGAATTAGCTTTCAAAAATCTATATGTTCGAATTCAAATCTCAAAACACACACATATATATAGATATATATATATTCGAATTTAAATCTCAAAACACATATATTCGAATTCAAATCTCAAAACACACAAACACACACATATATATATAGATATATATATTAGAGATCGGAATCGTTCATGGTGCACAGATTTGAGTTGAAACCCTATATCGAAAGAGGGAAGAGAAGCTTGCGGAGGCTCTGGAGGATAATGAAGTCATGGAGAGGTAACGGTCGAGGACAGAGTCGATGAAGGGGTTGCTGAAGGCGAAGGTGTTGCCGGCGTTGGAGAAGGTGATGACGGCGGCTTCGGTGCCGCACAAGTTGCAGAGCTCGTCGGTCTTTTTGAAGAGGCCATCTGTGGAAAGGAAGAGAGTGGGGAAGAGAGTGGGTATAATAGTCATATAAAATATTTAAATAATAAATTTGTCCTTTATGTAAGACTTTATAATTATGAGGGAGTTTAGAAAGTATAATTTTTTTCTTAGGTCTTTTAACAATGAAAGGAAGATAAATGAGATTTATATCTAAATTTACCTTTTTTTTAATACTAAAATCCTTACTTCAATTCCCCAATTCCCAAACAGAGCCTAAATTCCATTTTTTGGTCCCTTCTTCACTAGTACTCTTTCACTGAAAATCGTGGTTCCATGAAGATGTTCATCTTCATCGCCCGAACCTATCGCCGGAAACCACCCTCACTCTCTCTCTTCTTCACGCGCCACCACCTCTCCTCCTTCTCCACCACCACCACCATCACAACCCCTCCTTCCTCCAACCTCCACACCAAGTACTCCTTCAAACCCCCACTCTCTCTCGACCAAAACCCTAACCCTAACCCCAAAAACCCAACCACCAAGAAGCCGCAAAAGCCGCCGTACCGTCCGCCATCGTCGCTTGACCGCGGCGGAGCAAAGCCGGTTCGCTCGGACCTGCCTTTCGATTTCCGGTTCAGCTACACCGAGAGTAACCCGGATGTGAGGCCAATTGGACTCCGAGAGCCGAAGTACTCGCCTTTCGGGCCGGATCGGCTGGACCGGGTCTGGACCGGAGTGTGTGCTCCGGCGGTGGAGCTAAGAGTTGGGTCGGTGGAGGATGGGAAGGAGGATTCGAAGTTGGAGGAGAAGAGGAAGAAGATGAGAGAGAAGACTTTGGGGGAGCCATTGACGAATGCTGAGAGGAAGGCTCTGGTGGACCGGTGTCAGAGTCCTAGAACAAAGCGCCAGATTAATTTGGGTATTGAGATTTTTTCTTCTTCTTTTTCTTGCGTAATTTGTTTGATAGTTCTTGTTTTAATTTGATTATTTAGCTTATAATTTCATTGGTTCTTCTTAAAATTACGATACTGGTATTATCTTAGTGAAGTTGTTGACACATCAAAATGCAATTTTTTGATGGAGAAACAGTTGTGTTTTCATTTTCTGTATTTTTTTGGTTTTTGTTTTCATTTTCACCGTTTTGAAAACAAAATAATGAAAAGTTTGAACAGGCCCATTGTCTTGTAGTTTTTATTTTTGTGTGAAAGCAGTTTTGGGACATTTGAAAACAACTTTTATGTTTCAAAAAATGTGTTTTGTATTCAGAAATTTTTTCCAAAAGCAGTATTCGGAGAGAGTTCGCCTAACAAGGGTGATATATGTTATTCGATCATAAGTAGCCCAAGCTCCATAAAACAATGTAATTTCTTTTTAATTATAGGGCTGGTTTGGCATGTTGAGAAACCGTCAAAAAATCAAAAAAATTATTCAAAAAGCAAAAAAGTTATCACTATTTATAAATTAAAAATATATAAAAAAAAATAGTTTTCACGATATTAGTACAATTCAAAAAGCTACACAGTGATGGTACTGAAGTGATGAGAAATTTATGTAGTGATGGTACCAAAAAAAAAAAGAAGATATATATTCATTAAATTGGAGGGTACTGTTGGGCCGTGGGGACCCACCACGAATCCTATTTCAATAATCTGAACCATTTAATGTGTAAAACTTGTCGAGTATTGTATGCTTGAAAAAAATTACATTGATCGGATATGGATAGTTATGTGATCAAATTAATTTTTTCTAGTCGTTTATTTTTTACCGTCCATTTTTCTCATACTAAACTGTTTTGATCACATTGCTATCGATATCCGATCAAAGTGATTTTTTACAGGCATATAATACTCAACGAGTTTTACACATTAAACAGTTTGAATTATCGAAACGGGACCCGTGGTGGGCTCCTACGGGCCCAACAGTACCCGTGAAGCCTCATGCTATATTTGCATATGGTTCAGATTCTTCTCACCATTTCAACCATTTTGAACGGTCTTTCTGCAGCACTGTCACTAATGAATCTAGACCATAGGGGTAAAAACTTAATTTTGTTATTTTATATAATATTTTAATACACATTTTTTTCGTAAAAAGACAAAAAGTTGTCCCAAATAATGATCTTTTTTTTCTTCTACTTTTTAGTTCAAAAAGTACACTTATTTAGGACACCCCAAGCAATCCCATAATAACAAATCAAATGCAGATATGTATCCAGAAAGTAAACTAGATTTGAATCATTAAATAGTTTGTAGAAATGACGAAGCTCTGTAAATTATGTTTTTGAAGTGGATTTTGATTAGTGCTTAAATGCTTAGTTTATTTATTCTGTTTCTTGAGTTGTAAAGAATGAAGATTAGGAATGCTGGGGTCGAATGAGGTCACTATCTGAGGATTAGATATCATAGAGGAAGGCTTTTAATTGACATGATGGTCAATTGTTAAGAATGAATTTGATGGTCTGATTTTAATATTCTGAAGTAGAACACAAGGCATTTTCTTCTTTCAGTTAAAAAGGAGTAAGATAGCATGGAATTGTTTGCTAATTCAACCAGTATCTTTCGTACTCTTTACTAATTTAGCAATCTTGTAAAGAAAAATCATTGAAATTACAGCTTGACCAATTTTTTTAGATTTTTGAATAAGCTACACTCAGGCTGTTAGAATGTCACTATTTACACTTCCACCATATAAAAAAAGAAGGAAAAAAAAGCGGGACAGCAGTTTCTCAAGAACCTTTTTCTGCTCACTTTTGGCATTCATGGTTTCTATTGTAGGAAGGGATGGTTTAACACACAACATGTTGAATGATATTCATAATCACTGGAAACACGCTGAGGCTGTCAGGGTGAAGTGTATGGGTGTACCGACCGTTGATATGAAAAATGTTTGCACTCAGCTAGAGGTACTTTGTTCCCCTCATGTCTGGAAGCATTTCCTTCTCTTGGTTTCATCTCCTCTAAGGACGTTATTTAGAAAGGAATAGTGCATAGAGGCATTTCCTTTCGGAAGTAACCTTTTGCAATTCACATTCATATTGTATGTAATGCTTTTGTTTCTTGTGTGTTTTGTACTCCATGGTAGATTAATTTGTACCTCTTTGCCCATGGTTTTTACATTTATTCGTGCCATTTTATTATGAACTTGGTTATTATTCATATCTAATGGGCTCCTAGATATTCTGTTTTGTCTGTTTAATCAAAGTTTTATGCTTGTATTCCAGGATAAAACATTTGGCAAGATTATCCATAGACATGGTGGTCTACTCATATTATACAGGGGCAGGAATTATATCCCCAAGAAGAGACCCGTGATTCCTTTAATGCTGTGGAAGCCTCACGAGCCTGTATATCCTAGGCTTATCAAAACTACGATTGATGGCCTTAGCATTGAAGAAACAAAGGGAATGAGAAAGAAAGGATTGGCTGTTCCTGCCTTAACAAAACTTGGTAAACCTTCTGTCAGTAGTAGCTTTCAATACTGTCACTTTGTATGGTTTCTAACACATCAGTTTCAAATGCAGCTAAAAATGGTTATTATGGTAGTCTTGTACCTATGGTTCGAGATGCTTTTCTTGCCAGTGAGTTGGTTCGGATAGATTGCCAAGGCCTTGAAAAGAGTGACTACAAGAAACTAGGCTGCAAACTGAGGGTAAAACTTTAGCTTTTGATTAATCTTACCTTGTGGTAGTTGTCTTGTAACTACCAATACAAAATCTGCTATCTTTTGTTCTTCTTAGTAATTTGTTCCATGCTTGTTGCAAATTGCCCCCATAAGTGCACTGTTGGCTGGCGTTTGGGGGGATGAAGAGAGATTTGTATTTAAAATATAAAAAGGAAAAGCAAAGAAAACATGCATATATATAGATATCACTAGCGTCTGGCTCCATGGGATGCGTGAGTAACTTAACATATGGTTTTTGATTTGTTGATTTTACATTTTGGTCCTTATAGTAATTGCTAGGCAAAGGTAATAGTTGGGGAAATTATGTTGTTGCTATTAATTTTTTTTGAAAATCAAAATTGCATGACTAAGCTCCAACCGAGTAAGTTGTGTGCTTTATATAATGGAATAGGCATAGCGAGAGCTTAAAAACAGGCAGTCCCAGTGAACGAGCCTCCCACCATTGTGAGGTCTAGGGAGGGTCAGATTTAAGTCTTAATTCAACTGCTCGACATTGGTCACATGAATGTGTTTTTCCATTGCAAGGTTCAGGAAGGGTCAGATGTGAGATTCTGTTTTTTTTTCTTTTTTGTTTGTAATCTTATATGAAAATGCTTACACATGCGTTCAACATACCTGTAAGCTGAACAGATGACGTACTGCTACTTACTGATAATTATGACTTTGTATGAAGAATTATGCTGAAATTTTGAATTTACAAAGGTGGTCTTGTGTTTGAGTCTATTAAAAGCAAATATAGGCTCTGTTTGGAACGAGTTTTCTACTCTCACACATGAATATGATGTTTGGATAGAGTTGTGGAATTAATTTTCTACAACTCTGCAGAAAACTCTGTTTGAGAGCGCGATTTTCAAAAAAAAAAATCAAAATTTGGCCTAACCGGTCGTCCCACCAGCCGTCCGGCCGGTTGACCGAAACACTGCAAATTTTTTTTTTTTTTTTTTGCAATTGATATGTTAATTTTTATATATTCGAAAAAAATATTTTTCAAAATTTTTAAAAATTTTTATGTGCTTTAATAGAATTTTGAGTTGTATGTTTAGTTATGACTTGTAAGTTTTTGTATCAAATATCAAA